TTGAATCATAATTGTGTGGAATCTAGACTCTTGTTGTCTTTCCATACTTCTTTATCTAAAACATACTCGTTTTGTAATATGACTTTTCAATTAAAATACTTTTAATGTAAATTTTAAACTTAGGAAATGATAATCTTAATATATGCTTCGGAATCTAATTGTAAAAACGTATACAGTTCCCCATAAAAGAATAGCTTACCTTAGTTAAACGAAATCGTGGTACCATGAGTTTGGACTTATTTCTAAGGTTAATATTATGAATATCTTCTTTCTTAATGAAATTATGTATATTTTTACGGGCATACAAAATATTTGAGTCAATGTACTGCGATGTCACATGTAAATGTACTGCGGTGTACAATACCCGTAACTAGCGATACTGCGATAAGTACTAGCTATGAACGATAGAGAAAACGCTGTTCCACACAAGGAAGCAGTTCTATATCGCCACAAGGTAGGTAGTAGGCTCCTCACATTATGTTGGAATCGCCCACATTGGTCGAGGGAAAATCTTAACACTGCGATACAGAATTTGCGATATCGACGCCAATGCCATCTAGCGGTGCGCGACGGAACTAATTTGTGTTGTTGCATGATATGTGATTTTGTTACAAAGTTTAATTAAACGTTAGTGGAATTTGCGAATAAAGTTTTTATTTATTTATTTATTTAAACACTTTATTGTACCACAAAGTAAATTACAAATGTTCAGAAACATCAATATTTAAATATTTGTGTACAAAGGCGAGCTTATCCCATAAAGAGATTTCTTTCAACTAACCTTTGAAAATCTGAGAGGAAAGTTGGTTTTTGGGGTGGCACTAAAAATAGATAAATAAAGAAATGGAATATACTATTCTCAATAAATACACAGATATAGTTATTTTTGATATAAGTGCGGAAAGTTAGTCATTATTCACGAGGCTCGAGGCTTCTTGGCCCGAGCCAGAGGCGACGGTCAAGACGCGAGACAAGTGAAAATGACAAATCCGCACGTGTATCAAACGACGTTTTTTAATGCATTTGCGAAAAAACTACATTGAAAGTAAAATAAAACAGTATTTAAAAAAAACTCATTTTCTGCTAGTAAATTAAAATAATGAAATACAACCACTGCAACCATTATTTAAAAGTCTATGGAAATATAATTCTAACGTGCTGTTTTTGTTTATTTTCTGTAATATCGGTCTGTAACCAATTTTCTTATTATGAAGTCCTGGTACTTTTGTTTAAACTTCTTTAGGAACCCGTGCACGGTAGTGAGATACAATTTATCTGTAATACATAAAACAAATACACAGTGAGGTCATAAGTATTGTCACACAGTAAAAACTTTTCGTTTAGTATGCTGGCCACAAAAAAGTTTATTGAATTCGAATTTCGAATTGTTCATGAAAATAAAAATGATTACTTTTTAGAATTTTACTCATTTTTAAATATGGAGTGGACGCTTAAAGAAGACCGTGTTGCAGTTATTGCGTTGCATCGTTGCGGTTACGCGCCAATTCAAATTTTTGACATACTGAAAAATTTTAATATAACCAAAAGATTCGTGTATCGTACCATCAAACGATACAATGAAGACTCTAGTGTAGATGACAGGTCAAGAAGTGGTCGCCCTCGGTCTGTTAGGACTCCAGCAGTGATAAAAGCTGTGAAGGCGCGAATTCAAAGAAATCCCAAACGTAAGCAGAAACTGTTGGCCCTTCAGATGGGGTTAAGCAGAACCACGGTGAAAAGGGTGTTAAATGAAGACTTAGGGCTTCGGGCATATCGAAGAAAAACAGGACATCGTTTGAATGATCGTCTAATGGACCTGAGACTGAAGAGATGCTGCGCTTTGTTGAAGCGGTACGCGGGAAAAAAATATCGGGAAATTCTTTTTTCAGATGAAAAAATTTTTACCGTAGAAGAGAGCTACAACAAACAAAATGATAAGGTGTACGCACACAGTAGTGCAGCAAGCAAGCGAGCAACCGTATTCCGCGTGTCCAACGAGGTCATTTTCCATCCTCGCTCATGGTATGGTTGGGAGTTTCTTATTGGGGCTTAACAGAGGTACATTTTTGTGAGAAAGGTGTAAAAACGAATGCAGTTGTGTATCAAAATACAGTCCTGACGAACCTTGTGGAACCTGTTTCTCATACCATGTTCAATAACAGGCACTGGGTATTCCAACAAGATTCGGCGCCAGCTAATAGAGCGAAGAGTACACAAGACTGGCTGGCGGCGCGTGCAATCGACTTCATCCGGCACGAAGACTGGCCCTCCTCCAGTCCAGATTTGAATCCGTTAGGTTACAAGATATGGCAACACTTGGAGGAAAAGGCGTGCTCAAAGCCTCATCCCAATTTGGAGTCACTCAAGACATCCTTGATTAAGGCAGCCGCCGATATTGACATGGACCTCGTTCGTGCTGCGATAGACAACTGGCCGCGCAGATTGAAAGCCTGTATTCAAAATCACGGAGGTCATTTTGAATAAACTTTAGTGTCATAAGAATCTATGTTTTGTTAAGTTCATTTTGGTATATAAATGGTAACATAATGAATAAACTTGTTTCAATTATTTTATATTAAACATGTGACAGAATTTATGACCTGACTAGGTATATACATAAAAATCTCGCCTGTCACCCATTCAGGGGTAGGCAGAGACCTCCACTCGATACGTTCATTATATAGTATTTGTAAATAAATATAAGTTTTAATGACGAATGACTTACGTCACAAAGCACATAAATATTAAATAAATATACAACTTCTTTAGTTCTGTGCTTAAGATTTGAAACAACAGTAAATTAAAAAAAAATGTAAAAGTAAAAAGCACTAGTGCGAAAATTCCAACTTTCGGCACGATTTGTAGTGCGAAAAATACCACGTTTTGAGCAACTGTATTAAAAAATTTATTATGTCAAAAATGTACCGACAACGGCACATCAGACTACACATTTTTGTTCGAAAATCGCCTCCAGTGCAACGAATACAAATATATTAAGTAATGTTGATACATGAATACATACAAAATCTATAATAAAATTAATTCATAAAATAAAACTATAAATAAATATATCAAATGTAAATAAATATTTCATAAGCTAACATGTGGAGTCTGAACAATCCCAAAACTTCAAAAGAGCACCCTTGAAAACCCGAACCGAAGGCGACTGTATGACCTCGACCGGGAGAAGGTTCCACATACCGGCAGCATTAACTGTGAACGAATCCGAATAAAAGTTTCGTATTTCGTTTCGCATTCCTGTCTGTGTTTTACAGGTTAACGCGTGAAATACAATCGTGTCGCATGATTTTTGTTTCCGGGTTTACCAATATTAATTTCTAATTAATTCTGACTGAAAACATGAAAAAAACCTTTATTTCCTCGCATAAACTTTGCTTTTGTGGTTAGGACGGAGAAATGTTGAAATTTGCTTTAGGGAAAGTTAGAAATTTTCGGGCTTCTCTTTATGTAAAGACAAAAAGGGAACAAAATACATATTTCAAATCAATAGTATATTTCAACCAAAATTATTGAAATTGATGACAAAGAACATTTTGAATCTTTGTGAACTGCCGTATGTACTATAACAAAGTTTTCATAGTTTCGTATGTAGACAGACACTCATGAATTTGTGGACTTTATAAGTATAGTACTTATAAAGTCCATTAAAATAACATCAGTCACCACAAGTTTCTAGTTTAACTTCCTAAGACAGTACAAACCACCATAATAAAAGCGTTAAACGACATTAAAATATATGAAATGTAATTGCTTCAGTATGTATGGCTTTGTATGAAAAACTTATTTTTCTAGATAAACTATGGTGATATAGTGTAATTGCGCTAAATTTGAATGAGATCATTTCATTATAATGTATACTCGGCGTTTACGTGGTCATATGAATAATATCATCTGGGGGTCTGAATCACATATTATATATATTGTCAATTACAGGTGGCCTTATGATGTAAAAGAAAATTATTATAAATAAAATACACACCAAATCGCGTGAATCAACACTCGAATAAACACACACATTACACAACTTTACATATTTTCATTTTCCATTTTAATACTGGCTGTGTTTTGCTATTTACTTTGTTTACTAATGTTAACTTTATATATCTATGTAGCAGTTTCGATTTTTGTTCTTCAAAATATTAAGTGATACGGAACAAACGAGTCATGTGCGTGATGGTAAGTTACACGCCTGTCCATAATAGTTCCAGTGCCACTCAGAGCTTTAAATCGCAAAGATCTGAAGGGCATTGCCATTGCGCCTGTCACCCTGAGACACAAGTTGACAAGTCCCAAGTGCCTGTAATTTCACCAACACCCTTAGCCTTCAAAACCGGAATGCAGTAATGCTAACATTACTTCTAGGCGGCAGAAATAGGCAAGGTGGCAGTACTTCCCTGGACGAACTCTTTTTAACAACGAGCTCTACTGCTGCTAAAGAAGCTTTACCACAGAGTTTTTGTTTTGTTTCCTTGGTTTCAAATTTATTACTGTATTATCAACAAACTCGAGACAGTCCCAGTTTCAAAACATTTGTTTGCAAGTTGAGATCGTTGTTAGCCCCGGCTCTTATGTATGGTATAATTATTAAGTAAATTATTGAATAAGCACGAAAAATCCGTAAAAAGTGTACCGGGAGTACCGGTAGCGAGCTAAACCCAATACCGGACATCATAATTTTAGGAACCGTAACGGTTCTGCAGGGTCTAATCGTCAGCCTCCTGCAGTTACAGTAAGTATAATTGATCATTAATAGGGCCCGGATTAATATGTAATTACATACTTTTGATTTCAATAATTGATGTTCATTAATTGTTTTCTACACAAAAAATGATATTTAGAATAAATTTCATCACGGAATTTGAAATAATCCATATTAACGTGATAATTAATTTAATTAAAAAAAAATAAAAATGCATGCGTGCTTGAAAAAAAAATGTTTTAAATACACTAAAAAAACCAGTGTACTGTGAGAAAGATTAGAAGACAAGCTAGACGTGGCCTTACCCACTTGCGGACTTATGCAAATTCAAGTTTGCTCCAGTTACATTCTGTGACGTCGAAAGGTCATCAGCTAGTACAAGGCGTTATTCCGACCAAACAGACAGAATTTTAATTTTGAAAATTAATAAAAGAAACATGTAATTGTGTAATGTAACTATAACAGCAACGAAAATTAGATTGAGGTGGAATGAAACTTGTTGATTATTTTTATAATTAAGCGTAGTCTGTGTGAAAACAGTTTTTTTTTTATCATTTTTTCCCCATTTCAAGATGTTTTGCCCATTTTTTGTAGTTTATACTACATATTTATCCGAGCCCTAGTCATAAGAATATTTTCTGGCATGGTTTAGTTAACTGGGTATAATAAAAATGAGATATAAGGAGATAAGGGTAAAATAAAAATTAATGCACCACTATTGTACTTTATTACCTTGAGCACTAACATTAGGTCTAAGTATAAAGCTAACAGAATTGTTCTTTGGCCACATCGGCAGTCCTCCGGAGCGCACTAGGGCGATGGTGCTGATCGCAGCTATTATCATTGCAGTTACCAAAATCACCCATGGCACGATCCGTATGTGGCCTAGAAAAGCATGAGAACTTTGCAGATCTGCCAATATAGATGGTGGTAATTCTGCTCCCTGAAAAGGTATCATAAATATTAAGATGTTGCACTGTAACAATGTAATAGTGAATATTTATTTATTTATTTTTCGTTAGAGGTTTTATTGGCGACAATAGTAAAGAAATATCGTCGTCTTCATGCATTGTAATGAGTAATGGGTGGGTATAGTCCGCATTTATTCTTATTTATTGCTTTGACATGGCTCTATATATTTTTCCCCATAGACTAAACACAGTGGCTTTGGACAACAATTACCTTAGGTCATAGATAGAATTCTAAATTTGGACTTTGTCAGGATCTGTAGCATTGTATTTTTTTATGCTAGCTTAAAATTACATGAACATCGTTTGAGGAATGGCTTAGTTCCGTTATTGGCAATTTGTGTGGACGCCAGCAGTCAATGTCAAAAGCAGACAAACATTCTCTCGGTTTACTCTTGAAAAATGTTTAAAAAAATGTTACAGTGAATTTTATTATATTCTTAAATATAAATTGGAAAAGGTTCGAACATACCACAGTAATGGAGAAATACATATAGGTAAATACAATTTTTTTTTAACGCACACACTCATTTCACCGTACTAGGGAAACCTTGTATCGCGGGTGCCATGGACACGCACATAGACACCATAAATTACACCCACTCACGAGAGACATAAATATAGCTCATACAAACACTTATACAGGTCCAGGAAGCGAACCCGGGACAATTAAATTGAAGAAATTACAGGCCCATTAGACTTGTCAACTTATGACTTAGTGATGAAGTGGCAGTACCCCTCTCTTAGATTTTTGATAGGTGCACGACTTGTTCGTCTTTAGTATCATAAAAAAAGACGTATGAAAACGGGACTGTGATATCACCTAAATTCTACAAAACCAGAACAAGGTTATAACCTCTTCCATCCACAGGAGCGGGAAAAGTCCAGTAGGTACGTTGGCTACTTGCGGGGCCCCCGGCAGCTGGCGGAGTTCTATGTTGAACTGCATACGTTTAACTCCTTTCAAAACGACACCTGTGACCTAAAATATATAAAACGTTATTGTTATTAAATAATTTGTTTTAACGTCCCGTATAAGCTAGCAATTGATTTATTGCACATCACGACAACGACGTTTTACTACCATGATATTAATTTATCTTTTGTGAAATTACTCCACAATAGTATCAATCATGTCCAAAATGTATAACTGACTAGTTTTCTATTTTTGGCGATAATAAACGTTTAGAACCCTTTTCAACATTTCACATTTTGCATTATATACTTCTATTAATTTCGTTGTTATGTATACAATGATTACATTACAAGATTATGTTTAAGGTCGTAAATTTTGTGACACTGGTAACACAATCGGGATGAAAAACATTTTTTATGCCGCCATTTTGTCGTATCATAGATGTCATTCGTGCTTCGATTCTCGAACTCGAATGTTTTCTAGTCTCCGTAGTGTGTTTGTTAAATTGTTGTGTGTTGTTGTTAAAGTTTATGCATATTGTTAATATTTTGTAATAGTTATTTTAAATGGTAGAAAATGAGAACTGCCACCTTTTCCAATTCCGGTAAAAATAGGAAGTTTGGTACACCTGCATTCATACTTTGACAATGACATTTCTTTGTTTACATTTTGGACATCTAATTAACCAATTTAAACATCAGGAAATCCTCAACGAGGCGAAGGGTTATGACTTCCACCGACTAAAACCTGATGGTGTTCCATCTCAGTTACAGGAGCGCTTTCGCATTCTTCCGCGACGTCTGTGTGCCAGTATAGGGCAATCTAGATTGGCATACATTTTTATACCAAAACGGAATTGTAAAGCAAGTCAGCAGGGCTAAAAAAGCCGCATTGGCAGAATCATAATATGATTCTAATACGATTCATATTTCAAATCGCAAAAAGGTTACTTAACTGACATTCATATTATGAATTGCTATCAATTCATATAACGCAATTCATCTATTTGACATTGTTGTATAGGAATGCGTAAAATGGTCCACAAAATAAGGATTGCTTTTATGTCAAACAGGAGAATCGTAAGAAGTTACTTGAGAGCAACATTTTACAATTCATTTCGTTATATTATTTAGAAAACTCATTAAAAATTGCTGATTTCAGACTATATGAAGACTTTTTAGTGCGCGCGTAAGTCACGGAACGATATTATACCGTTGCAGGAGCTCTTCGAATATTTGAACTTTCGTTCCAATTCCCGAACTCCGAATTTAACGGACTTCATAGATTAAAGAAAAGTGTGTATCGTGAACCATATAGGAACTTGTGCCTTATTTGCCCGGGCAGGAGGTGGAAAGAGTATAATCGGAATTCGAAAAATGGTCCCACCATTTTACGAAAATTAGAGGAATTGCTACAGAATTGCAAGGAATTCTGTAATTGAATTGCTTTTAGCAGAATTGCAAGATTTGATTTCGTGCAATTCTGCCCCGATCACAGTAAATGAAACTATTATTTTCGGATTTAAATCGTGTATGTTTTTTCGAACAAACCAACGTATCGGACCTTTCACAGGTCCCATGGTCATGGCTGACGAAGATGTTGATATAGACTATGTGTAACAACAATCGCGAAAACCTAGGAACTCGGTCGGATCATAATGACTCAGAATGTGTATTTGTAACATTTTTCAGACGGAGACGACCTCGGTGGCTTAGACTGTGTGCGCGAGGAGACTCGTGTTGGTTTCAAGGCGGGATCAATATGGGAAATTAACTTTCCTAAATTTTTTGAGTCTTCTGGGTAATGCGTTAATTCGATACCTTTAATAAATAGTGTTTTACGCCTATTTTATTTTTTTGGTCATTTTTTTAAACAACCATTTTCATTTACTAATATAATGATTTTTGAGAAAAAAAAATAAAGAAAAAAAAAACTAAATTCGAACAAAAAATGAATTTCGTGCAAAAAAAAACGATACAAAAAAACAGAACAGGTCCAAAAATTAAGCTGGCGTAGTGTTCATTGGTGGAGGTATAGAATTAGTGTGGTTGTTTTATGCATTGTTATTATTGTCATTACCTTTGTGATTTGTATCATAAAGAAACAAATGAATTTGAATATTTATAATACTATTGTTCATAATGGTAAGTTTGTCAAATTTAAGTTACTTATTTACTACAAAGATCTATCTTGGCTACGTCACATTTCTGTAATGCAATTACAACATCAAAAAAATCTTACGTGTTTTTCCAATGTCCTTGGCGATTATCACGTAACTTTGACGTCTATAGAGTCAATTAAACGTCATTAAATACTACTTAACCATTAACTGCGAAGTTCTCAATAGCATTGTTGAGAAATGATGAATTACAGATACCCGGCAGATCCAATTCGGAAATGTACTCTATATTGGTTATGCTTTGGGTGTTCTCAGACATGGCATAGTACATAGAACTCCCTGCTGTTCGGGTAGCTGTCTTTCACTTTCTTTTGTTTTTCTATGTTTCAGCATTGTGGCTGGGTTAACTTCATTCACGGGCCAAGTAAATATACAGTGTGGTGTGTATCTACGTTTAGGGTGTATTGAGAGGCTGTTTCGTCTTCTATTTAGATAGATAGATTGATAGTACGTTTTTTCAGCACAAATACAAATAGAAACAAAACAATTACAATCACTTTATAGGGTACAACATAAAAGCACATAACACACAAAGCACATGTTCTATGTCATATCATTATTAATTTTATACACATTTATGTAAAAAACATACTGCGAGAAAAACAAACAAATACTATAAGACCTGATAAAATTTTAATGTACCTATGACTACTGTTTTTGCTGAAGTGGCCCTGACTCAGCAGAAATACTGTACACCGAGAGAGATCAAACTGCTGTGCAGGTTTTCTACCTGTACCATATGATGAGCGATCGCAGTCCAGTCTAGTAAGCCATGAACTAGCCTAGTAAGCCATGCCACCAAAGTGCATCACACGCAAATATATATACCTAACTCTAAATACTATTTATATGTATATATCAAGTAAAAGTGTAAAATGTAAACAAGCAAATATTGTAAATAGTGTAAGCAATGAAGGTAAGCAATATAAATAATAATGTAACTTTACAAACTTAATATTAAATTATAACAATAGCCACCAAATATGAATATATAGGTACGGAATTTAGGTTTACAGGTATCAAACGCATTGATTAGGGAAATATCTATCTAGCGAGACACATCTGCTCGGACAATAGATGTTTTTTGTATTCACGCTTAAATCGTTTTTTATTATTGATGTCACGCAATGGAGGAGGAATATTATTCCAGCACTTACTGGCGCGATACCTGAAACCGCCGCGAAAAGCAGTCGTTCTGTGTTTTGGGATGTTAATAAACATTTTTAGAAACTAATCGGAACTTATTATCCCTTACACTTTGTGACCAATTAATTTTGTGGTGTAGATAATCAGGTTCCCGGGTTTTAACTACATCAAACGTTAGGCAGGCCAAATATAGCTTCTGACGGGCTTCAATTTTCAGAATGCCGAATTTGTTTAGAAAGGGCGTGATATGTTTGCGAGGAGGAATTCGAAAACAATAGCGAGCACAAGAATTTTGCACTCGCTGAATCAGTTTTTTAGAGCTTTTTTTGAGACAGCCACTATACACCGTAATGCAATAGTTCAGCCTAGATAATACCAGTGCCTCACAAAGCAGAACTCTCAGATCCTGGCTGATATAAGATCCAAAATTGTACAGAACTTTGAGGCGATAGAAGCAAGAGCGTGCGACGTCCAATACAGAATTCTCAAAGCGCAGCTCACTATCCATTTGCAACCTAAGATTCCTAGCCGAGCTGACTCTTTCTATAGCCACACTACGAGAGCCAAGTATCAAATATTTTGATTTAGGCCACTAAATGTCAATTTACAACGAGGCCGTTAGAAAAACACCAAGCAGAAATACGAATCAGATCATCATTTAACCCACCAACCATAGCGTTCAAGTCATCAGCATTGCCTGAAATGTAAATTTGTAAGTCGTCAGCATATAAGTGAAACCGGCAATTCAAAATACATTTAGCCAAATCACTGCTGAACAAAATGAAAAGTAAAGGTTCAAGAATGAAGCCTTGCGGGATGCCATTTCGGATTGTTTTAAGGCCTGATTCGATGTTGGTACTATCAGAGTTTTGCATGACTACTTTTGATAACGTCCATTTAGGTAACTACTAAATCAAGATATGCAATTGTGGTCAAGACCATAATAAGACATTTTTGAAAGTAGCATTTGAAAGTTAATGGAATCGAACGCACGCGAGGAGTCCAGCAAACATAAAATCGAACCCCTACCAATGTTTTAAGAAGCGAGGATGTTATCAACGACATCTAAAAGAGCTATTGCAGCGCTCCGCTGCTTGCGAAATGGATTTCATTTGCTTCACAATAGCGCATAAGTTGGCCATGGACTACCTTCTCTAAGTATTCAAAATAAGTGAGGTCATGCATGCATGTACCGTTGTTATCAGGAATATCGAGAAAAGCTTCATTCATAGCATCAGGATCGCGCTAAAATGCAGGAAGTTCAGGCTCATTTTTGAAAGGGACAACTGTATTCTTCAATATTTTCCAATTTTAATTTGGGATTATTTAAATTTAAGTTAATTTGCTGACCAAAAAAGCGGTTTTTTCGTGGTGAAGACTGGCATTAACAAAGTGTTTCAACATTTTGTATTGACTTTTGTGTGTATCACTATTGGTGATACGGTACTGACGCTGTGCATCATCTCTGAGTTTCATGATATGACAAACATTATCAGTAAACCACGATTGTTGCATATCCCTAATTACAACTTGCTTCATTAGGGCCTGTCTGTCCATTAAATGTATAATAAAAGTATTGAAAAATGCTACCATTTCGTTCACGTCACTCATTTCAGCTATCCCATCCCAGCCTATCCTCTCGATATCAGTGTCGAACCGTTTCAAATCAATACTTTTAATTGGTCGGCATGAAATTACTTAAGGGCAAGTTTTTGGGCGTTTTATTTTAAATTCAGTCATAACAATTGCATGGCCATCGAACTCAGGACGATGATCTACATCTACCTGTAGGAGCGGAGCATCTGAACAAACCAAATCTATCAAAGTAGCACTTGTTGACGTGAAGTGTGTTGGCTCACTAACTCGATTTGAAAGATTTGTATAATTCTATATTTCAAAAACTCATTATTATTATTATTATTACGGGGTTGGATAGTAAGAAGAACCCAATGATTGACACATCAAATTCATTTATTACCATTGGCATACGTTTTATCTCGTACCATGTTCTCGTACTCGTTTTATCGTCTTTTCTTTATGACGAATAGTGCTTACACTTCTTTCGCTTCAGGGTGAGTAATTATGTGAGTCGCGTTTTTTGAGTCGCGTAATTTTGCGCGTATATTAAAGTCCGGGTTGTCCGGTTCTCACGCGCGCAATTACGACCGAACTTCAGTCGCACTGTGTGATGTGCTTGTGCAGGTGGAGGGAGGGGGAACATTTATGCGTATATGGTAGTATTTTACAAATTGATCTGGATTTTTACATAAACTTTTAACAGCTCACGCTTTAACCTTTCCATATTGAGCGGATGAAGCTTAGCTTTTTTCTTTTTCTAACATCATCAAACGCTTCACAAATGGACACTATGTTTAAGGGATCCGTAATACTATGTGACACAAACACCTGTGCAAATGCTTAAAAGCAACTGAATAAATACGTTCGTTTGGCGCCCCATGGCACCCAGCTGAATTTTATTTAGTCGAACTAAGAGATTCGAAAAACGCGACTCACACCTCACAAAATCACACTCGTCTGACCTGACCCTTACTTAGTAATGTTAATTAGGTGTATAAATAGAGAAAGGTGCAAAGTGTCAGTGGCAAATTCATAGCCAGTAATAAGAAGTCGTGAATTGAAGATTACTCAAGATTTCTGAAAAAATTTTTTATGGAAGATTTGCTTCAAAATTTTTTTTTAATGAATAAAAATTAATCGTAGACTCTGGTCATGCTTACCGGGTCCAAATAAACATAGCTGTTGTGTTTTTCCTTATCGGGTTTGATGTCGCTGCCAGGATGGAAGTACTGCAATAGTTCCTCTGAAGCGAGGTAGAAATGTGGCAAAGAGGCGACTGCTGGGGCTCCTTGACAGGGTTCGAGATTGATTACGCCCATCAGGAGGCATCCATCGTGGCTGCCACTCCAATTCCTGTACAATATGAGTTGGTAAAGTCAGACAAGTTCCATATTTTCACCATTTTGTGGAATTGTAAAGAAAGGCGCCGCCTTCTGCGGGTTTTTAAGTAGTTAGCGTTGGGTTCACCGAGTGTTTTTTTTTATTATGATACCAAGTGACCGGTCGAACAAAACAAAGTTCGAAAAAACAAAATGAAAACAGAACAGGTCCTTAAATTAAAAGCAAAGGCTCCTTGACAGGGTTCGAGATTGATTACGCCCATCAGGAGACATCCATCGTGGCCGCCACTCCAATTCCTTTACAATATGTGTTGGTAAAGTCAGACAAGTTCTATATCTTCACCATTTTGCGGAATTGTAAAGAAAGGGCTCCTTCTGGCACCGCCTTCTGTGGGTTTTTAAGTAATTATTTAGCGTTGAGCTCATCGAGTTTTTTTTATTACAATACGAAGCGACGGATCGAACATGTCTTGTGCTTGGTAGTAAGTGACCCGCCTCATTCATTGCAGTGCCGCACAGAGCTTCAAATCGCAAAGATCTGAGAGACACTGCCACTACGTCCGTAACCCTGAGACATAAGTTGACAAGTCCCATATGCCTGTAATTTCACCAGCACCCTTAACCTTCAAAACTTCAAGGCATTAATGCTTACAACTACTTGGAGGCAGAAATAGGTAAGGTGGCAGTTACGTGGCAGTAATTCCCTGGACGAACTCTTTCACAAGGAGCTCTACTGCTCCTAAAAGTGTTTATTGTTCAAATTACGTGAAGAGTAAAAGAAGTGGAATATTTTTTTCATCTCACTAGCTCGGAAAGGCTTTCTTTCTCGTTAGAAATCTGCGCGCAAAATCGTTTTTGCATGATAGCGGGCAAAAGATTTTTGAAATTCGAACTTGACGTTGCATGGACTGTGGTGTACATAACTTTTTTTTGATGAAAAACAAATTCACACACGTTCAAATAAGCCACTTGTCGTACATTATTTATTTATGTAATATAAATCCGTTGATATATTTCATTCCTATCATTGTTGACATTAAATTGACAATGATAACTAATTGTGTTTATTAAATTCTTTTAATTCGTTGAAGATCTAAAATAATTTCAATAATCACATAATCACACAAAATAAAACTACAAGCAAGACTAAAAATTGAAGAGGTGTAAATTCAGAACGCATCCGAAGAGAAACCTTTTCTTTTAATTTAGAAAATTGTTGTTTTATAGTTCAATTGTTTTTCTTTCATCTACCATTTCCCTCGCCCAATGAGGTGGAAAGTTGTGTGTTTCGCTCGGCAGCAAAGTTGTTTTGCGTCTCGTGTCTTGAAACCCTCGCTACGCTCAGGAATCTATTTTTATCTTAGCTTCCTTCGCTTGCTCAGGTTTTAACACAAGCACGCGCGTCAAACAACAACCTTGCAGCCTTGCATAATAAATAACTATTTCAAATTTGAATGGGATTAGAGGTATCCTCTTTTCCAACAAAAAAAAGAATCGTCGAAATCGGTTCAGAAATGTCATATTATTAAGTAATTATTGTATGTGTTGATAACTAAAATAATAATGTGACAACCCTACGGCCCGCCGAACAGTAAGGCTAGCACGACAAAGTGCGACTTGCGCGAGATCTTTATGCGAGAATATATTATCTCGAGCATTATGTTGCTCTGGCGCTAGTCGCGCCCTGTCGTGCCAGCCCTGCTGGTGGGAATTGCACTATTTGTTTTATTGTATTAGGGATAGATACTAACTTGCGACAGAAGCATTTATTGGCGGGCACGGCGCTCTTCGCCGCAAGTGCAGACTCCGATATCTCGTAGTAATATGACGATAGATCGAAGATGTTCCTCTTGCCGACAAGACTGACATACAACGACCTGAGATCATGAAATATAATACTTATAATATAATAATGCAATAATAACGTGTTAAACAACCAGACGACTTCCCAGAAATAATTTCAAAATAACCAAAAGTCCCACAAACTATATTTGAATTTTAAAATTAACTGCTTCTGTAGTCGAACGGTTCAAATCATGCTGGACTGCCACGCCGAGGTCCCGGGTTCGATTCCCGGGTCGGGAGAAATATTTGTATAGCCTACAATTATTTCTCACGCGAGTTTATGTGTAACTTATGAGTCTACCTATGTATGTCTCTACTGCACCCGCGATACAGGGTTTCCCTAGTACATGGCTATGAGTGTGTCCGTTGTTTTTATTATTAATTGTAATTTAAGAAAACTCGTCGTTCAAACAGCACTACATGTCAATGAAGAATGCATGACGTCTACTACTGACTTCTAGGTAAACAAAGTATTCAATTTGCACTTGTCACTTGCATGAATTTTACTTATTGATTGAGTACTGTTCTCAATCCAAAAATTTTAGTCGTTAGCTGAAAAGTGGTTAAATGGAGCAAAAACCACAAGGTAATAACCGAATGGTGAATACAGTGACGTTCCTTTGCTTACCTACGAATGACGTCGTCTCGTGTGGTTTTGTTTGAACATGTTTCATTACAAAGTACGATTCACATTATTAGGCATTTCAGATTTACTAAAAATTTTATTTTCAGATTTAGAACTTCCTAGAGCAATAGAACTAAAATAAGAAGTTCTATAAAAATAGAGCTTGTTATACAATATAGATGAACCAACACATAATAGGAGTACCTGGGCATTGTTTGCAGGAATCGTCAACATTTTAGTGTCAACAAAAAAATAATTGTACTTTCAGCGGAAAAACTTTAACACTTACCTGCAAATATCGGGCTCAAAAGTATACAATCTCTTTGGAACGTGGTTCGGATTGATGGGAGGGAATATAGAGGAATCTGATCCATTCAGCATGCCGCAATATTTATCTCCCCACTGGCTCATCACATTTTTTCCTTTATAGGAGACTATATGGCCTAAATCGTATACGTTCTCGGTACCACGTATCATCTCGTATGGACCAGACTCCGTTCGGTTTAACTGCGGAAGTTAAGATAATGATATCGAGTTAGGGAGTGTGATTCTTCGCAGGTTTGATGTTTATAATTACACTTCAGTGAAGGAGACTGAATCAAGACGGAGAAAGAATTAAGGTGAACAAAAAAATATATGCGCATCCTGGATAAAGACAAATTACGAAATGGTTTTCTAGTTAAAAAAAGTTTTAAAATGTTCTGTATTCTCGGTAGCATACTGCGGGATCTAGTATTGAAGAGATATTGAGAAACAGTATTATATTTATTACTTACATGGGAGAACATGGAGAAATAAAATCCTTTTCCATCTTCCGATGGTCGCATTGTTGGTGGCATGTCTGCTTTTATTTTACCGCATACCAGTCCTACAGAAAATAGTATTCCAAAGATAGCATAAAACATTAACCATTTGACCGTCATAGACGCTTTAAAGCATCAATGAAACCATATATTATTTGTATATTCAAAGTTGCATTTTATGTCCAGTTATGTTTTACTTAAAGTAAAGTAATTTATAAAAATAACTGCTTCAACATGTGTATAATTATTTACAATAAATTACCAAACGAAATTAAATTGTTACAAGGACATACTTTTAAATTAAAATTGACAAAATGGCTTTTGACACATTGCTTCTATAGTAATAAAGAATACTTAGAATTTACAAATTCATTACATTAATTAGAAACTATAGAGACTAAAGAAACATTGAATCCCATTAATATTTGCACATCTGCTTGCAGGTTGAATACGATGTACCTAATTTTACTTAAGACCTTTGTAATTACTGTATTCTGGCAAATAAACGTATTCTATTCTATTCTATTCTTTAACTTAGAAGAATTGAATTAATAAAAGGTTAAAATTCATAACATGTCACATCACCAGACTTTGCGTCTAGGAAACAAAACTAGTTATTGTTACTGGCGGTCAAAAGGTTAATTGAGTATATTCGTTTGTTTCGTATTGTTAAAATAAAATAATTTGTAAAACATATTATGTTAGCGTAAACTGGAATGCTCTTTGGGAAATTTCAATATAAGTTATTTAATTAACAACTTTTGTTATTATAGTGGAAATAATGTGGTTTGCATTAATATTGCGTAACTTGGTCGATGACTTTATCATCTCAGTCAGCTGTGAAAAAAGGTTTGCAAAAGGGCTCGAAACGTTGGTTTGTTTGATAAAACAAATTTTACACGATTCAGATGAGGAAATATAGATTCATTTCTATGTGTAACAACCGCGAATAACCTAAGATTTCAAAATGTAAAACACTCTATAGCAAGTAGTGGTGAATCTGCAAAAGCAAACAAAAGCAATCCTATTTACGTGTAGAGCTCACTTTGTTTGCCTCGTTGCTTCTTATTGTTCGTTGCGTGCTTCATTTCATGCTTCGGATAAAACCACGTAATTGAAATATGCAGTCGTAATTTGAAGCTTATAATAACTTTGTAAATTATAAATTACTTTTGCCTTTACTTAGTTAACTTTATCCGAACTCCAATATGAAGTCGAAGCCTTAAAGCTTCGAAGAGACGTCGTCATCGGAAGCAATACAACTTTGGTGAGAACGAGATTTCTATATATATTTTAACCGATTTCAAAAATGAGACTTCTTGTAGGACTCCACTGTTCAATCATATGGACGGTAATTTTTTCTTCATTCTTTATTACTTCATATTTTTCTTTTTTTTATAATACGAAGTCACGGGACGAACAAGTCGTGCGCATGATGGTAAGCGACACGCCTATCAATAACAGTTGTAGTGCCACTCAGAGCATTAAATAAACGCAAAGATCTTAGAGGCACTGCCACTGCGCCTGAGACGTAAGTTGACAAGTCCCATGTGCCTGTAATTTCACCAGCACCCTTACCCTTCAAAATCGGAATACAGGAATCCTCACATTATTGCTTGGGACAGGAATAGGTAAAGTAGCAGTATTTCCCTGGATGAACTCTTTCACAAGTTCTACTGCTACAGACAAAATCTAAGCACAATTTGCGCACTGACATCCGTCCGAAACAATTACTGTCAAATAAGTAATATTCGACAAATTAAAAGACAAGTATCAAGTATGGAGCTTCATTCGCCTCACGCGTCTTTTCATTTGGTCAAGTATTGCTTATTTGATAGTAATTGTTTCGGACGGATGTCGAACGGAGATCAAGAGTAGACCCCTCGTTCCTAATCCGAGATTACACAAGTGACTTGTGCATTAAGTCCGTTTCTAATCCGAGAAAATGCGTATATCGCTTGTCTGCTTATCTAGAGATAAAATGGGATCATAGAATGGGATGTGACATTTCGGATCGATTTTTGAAATAAGATTTGTAATAGCGCTTTATGTATTTTCTCATCTATACATCGGAATTGGAGTGCCAACTCCAATTGGTTGAGGGTGTCCAATTGCTACTTGGATTGGGTTCGTGTCTGGCTGACTCACAAGAACGGTGCAACAAGGAAACATGTGACGACGAGTATCGGAGTTGTTTGTTATAATTGTATACACGAGTTGTCCTTATTTATATTTACAATGTTCGCGACCAGAGGAGACAGTTACTGCAAAGTATTATTTTGTCTTTTCTTCTTGACGTTACGGCGTACTAATGTTTTAGGCGATGGGCGAACTTTACTCCGAGCTGACCTACCACCTTGCTTATACCGAGTTATGCAATGATGTAGATCGAAACTGAGACCTTGGATAGGGTTTACACAGTGTGTGATCGGGACTGGGCGCGCCAAACAAAGCGTGTGTCGGCACTGACGACGCCGACATCAATTGTTTGCGCCCGCCTTGTGACACACTTGCCGGGCTGATAACGTGCTCACGAAACGTAGTCTCACGTTGCTTAATTGTCTAGTCGCTAAGGTCCAGGACGCTGACATCTCTTGCAACAGCATTAACAAAGTAATTTATAAGGCATTCCAGTGGCTTGCACACAGGCTTTCGTGGTGTCGCCATCTCTGAGGTCCCGGGTTCGATCCCCGGCCGGGTCAGTGTAAAAAGTGATTTTTCTATATTGTCTCAGGTCTGGGTGTTTGTGGTACCGTCGTTGTTTCCGATTTCCATATCACAAGTGCTTTAGCTACTTACTTTGGGATCAGAGCAGCGTAAATATAATATTAGACAACATAACATTTGTCTAATATTATATTTATTTAAGGTAAACTTAGCGTATCAAATATGTATGTAGTATAAGAAATTAGCATGTGAGCGTTTTGGTTGTTACTGTAACTTTACATTGTATTTTGAATAAATGAATTGAATAAATAATGGCAACCCTTTTTGAGAATTGCGTAATTTTGATGTGCTACAGATTTACTTTTAGGTTCGTCGTACATAGGTAAATACTTTACATATTTAAATCATCAACAACGACAATACTTCTCACTGTTGGGCGCGGGTCTCTCAGGTGAGAGTTTTGGGCCATAGTCCCCCGTGCTGGCCCAATGCGGGTTGAGGACTTTACACTTTTTCCGAGGGCTGTAAACCTTCTTCAACGTGCAGGTTTCATCACGATGTTTTTCCTTAGCGAAAAGATCATGGTAAATTACATATTAAATTTCGTATATAAATTCCGAAAAACTCAATGTGCGAGTCTGGATTCGAACCTAAAGCGTCTGCTTGAGAGGTATGTTCAGATTCCAATCGTTGAATTACAGAAGAAGACAGACGTTTAAAAAACACAATTTATGAGCTAACCAGTTTCTTAACTACTGTCATATGTTCCAGGAATACCCCAAAGCGCATAGTAGTGCCCAATTTTGTTTCAAATTACACCTCTAACCTAAAGTGCCTTCAAGATTAAATGTCTAATATCAAATCTTGGAATATCGAGTGGAAATTCTGTGAAGTCTTAACAAGATTTAACTTGTTAAACTAACAACAGAGTAAACAAGACTTAATTAACACACCACAAACGACTTTATAGCTTGTACATGTGTTTGGGATTTGCAATTACAGTGTAATGTTTGCTTTTAGGTCGTAAACGATGCGATGGCGGTTTTTTTACAATTCAGCGAATTGTTGAGGTGACTGCACTGAATAATGCATTTTTTTTTCAATCAGCCTATTGCAGTTTACTGTTGGACATAAGCCTCTCCAAGTGTACGCCACAGTGCCCGATCACCAGTTTTCCGCATCCAACCACTACCCGCGACCTTCTCCAGATCGTCGGTCCATCTTGCAGGGGAACGTCTTACAATACGTTTGCCGAGACGTGGTCTCCACTCGAGAACCCGTCTACTTTATCGCTCATCGGTTCAGCGACAAATGTGGCCAGCCCACTGCCATTTCTGGATGATGTCCACAACTTTAGTCTTATATAGCCGGATAACTTCGTTCTGGACTTTGTCCCTTAACGACATATCCAGCATAGACCTTTCCATAGTTCTCTGAGCGACGTGTCGTGAGACTACAGTCTGTGAGCCACTTTGACCGTCATATTCGACGTCTCGGTTCCGTAAGTCATGACCGGTAGGACGCACTGAATAATGCACGTGCACAAAATGAGCCTTGCCATGCGACGTACATACCCATGGAAGGGAAAAAAACATTGGACGTATCTTAAGCCTTGATCACTGTTAGAACCGCTATCGCTATAACACACACATTCATATTTTTTATCACTATGAAATCTTAATAATGATTGGTCGCAGTTTCTAATTTAAAAAGAAGTAACAAATTCTGGACAGTTCATATAATTTAAACTTCATCGTGTTAGCGTTGAAAGTTCAACACCTATTATTGCAAGTTACGACGTTTAGTTTTGTAATCAAATTTCAATCAATGTGCTGCCACCTAGCGGTCAATAGCGAAGAATTCGAGATGTTTACTTAGTTCCCCAAAAAAGAAGCGACCATATTGCAGCGGCATAAGGTTTCCTTTGGTTTCTTGTAACTAATAAATTATTACGATCAATATAAAATTTAAGAAAATAAGCTTTAGCGATGATATGTGACACCACCATGAATAATTCTTTCACTCCAAAGCAAAATAAGGCATTTTTATACGATTTTCGAGTTTTGCGCGAGATAATCTGATAAATTTTAAATGGCAGACTGAGCTCAAGTATGTTGAACTCCACCTACTGTTGGCACACGTGTCGCTACCACTAAGTTTTTGTACTGTATGTATTGTTCTGTAGACGTACCATTTCTTTCCTGTACGTTTGGCGCACCTTGGGCAAACGGCGAGTACGGCACGCCGCTCGATTGGCAAACCCTTTCGCCACGATGGCGAGCATTACAGTGTATACCATCGATACGATAAGAAGAAGTGCAGGCGTAATATTATTCGGTCTTGAGTAATAACCACGTGTAAGATACAACGACTGCATAAGTCGCTTGAAACATTACTGTTTTCAATAGAATATTTATTTTTCTATTTTTTTATATATTAATTAAAAAAAAAAAAAAATATTAATAAATATTTGACACGAATAAAAAAAAAATAGAATTTCATCGCGCTCACGCCGCACGGTAGCCGCGTGGAGCCCGCGTGCGTCTAACTGACATGGCAAAATACGTTCTATGTATTTAGCTTTTACATTTTAACTTAAATGGGCGTACCCGGGCGCGCGGGCTAGTCTGGCTTGTCTTTGGATTACGCGACAGTCGCGCGGTTGTCTTATTCCGAGGAATTTAAATGTTGTTGCCTAGTAAATAGCATTCAGATTCGGCATTAATGTACGTGAAAGTGTAGTAGCTGGTTGCCGATTAGGCACTAGCGAAACTAAATGATAACTCTGAAGTAGATTTATTTAGATGAATAAATATTACTCACCCAAACCAGAACTCTCGCCTTCGCAGTTAAGATAAATGCCATCGAAGAATAGATCCTTGACCTTCACGCGGAGAAAGGGATCCGTAAGGTTGGAGAAGAATTCTTCAAGAGCCTGGTTCACCATGCCCACGAAGCTCGGCATCAAGTCATTCACCGCTAGTAGAGCTGCCTGTAAGAGAAAAATATAACACACAATTTGATTTTTAGAACGTATTATTATACGTGAAAAATATGGTAACTCCATACAAACGTAGCAGCGTGGTTTGTTTTTTTATTGTTTATTCACAAGTAAAATTATTTACAAAAAAGAACACAAAACAGCGAATAAAAACCACTAAAACATTTATGTGTTGCTGCTATCATACGCTTTCAGGAAAGAAGACACAAAGCACTCCGTGTGAATGGTTATTTGAACGTATTCTTGTGATCCAAAGCCTTTATATGTAGTTCCTCTTTAAAAATATTCGAATATTACGAATGGTGAAATGTTGACTTGAAGCATCTTTTCCGGTGTTATAATTTTGAAAATATTTTGTCTTGTTCCCACATATACACACAAACACACACACTCACTCACTTACGCACGCACTCACACACGCATGCACGCGAGCACACACGCACGCACGTACGCATGTTTAACTGAAAGTGGGTAACATCCAATTATAACGGATCCTATATAATAAATTTATATAAAACGCAAAAGAGTTTTCAGAAAGATCGTCATTTATTAAAACGTTGCAACCGTATACTACTTTCAACTGTAGATGACGCTTGATCGCCACTATAAAACGTATCCTATATAAATTTATATATAACGCTAAAGAGCTGGAGATGGAATATTTTTTAAATTGGAGTGGGAATGAAAAGAACTATCGAAATCGGTTCACAAATGTGGGTGTAATCCATACATACATATAAAAAATGTAAGCGAATTGAGAACCTTCCCCTTTTTCAAAGTCGGTTAAAAAAGAGATCAGCATATTCACCATGTACGATAAATTGACGACGACAACATCGTCATCTTCTGAAAGCGAGCCGCTCTCGTTGGCAGCGAAGTAAAATGTCTTCTTCAGCATGTATTTTACCGTATCGTTGGCACCGTAGCCGAGGATGGTTTTCTCGCGATATTCTCTGTGAAAATGTCGAACGTATACGTATTTTTTCAAAAACCTGTACAGAGAGAAAAATATTCCAGACAACAAACCAGGATTTTACAGCTAAATAATTTTAAAAAATATTTGAAAATTTTTATTAAAAAAAAAGACCTTAAAGTTTATGGAATTACGTCTATTAGCCAAGTTTTATGAAATCTGTTAACGGCAAGTGGGTCAAATTTAACAAACCGGATTCATTCATCCCTAATTTGTCACTCTAGAAATGGAATATTTTCTTATACTTTGAATGGGGACTACTGCTGTTGTAACCAAGGGGTTACAACAGCGACTTCGATGAATCTTTTTTTCTAGAAAGGTCTAGCATAAAAGATTCAGCGAAATCGGCTCACAAATATTGTGAGTTATCGTGTAACATACATACATACATAAAAAAACAATCGTATTGAGAAGCTCCTCCTTTTTTTTAAGTCGGTCAAAAAACTTAATTATGGATCTGCAGGATGTAAGGGATGTGACAAAAACTTGGATCTATTTCTACCGTAATCACGATAACAGTCTAAATTTGGATTTTAAATTCGTAAATACTATTACTTACCCTGTACAAAATACACGCAACAAAAGTGTCTAGGTTTTTTTAAATATTTGATTATCCAAATCTTCTTCTTAGGTTCGAGTTTAGGTTAGATTTCTTAGGTTTTCACGATTGTTACACATAGTAAATGAAACTATTTTTCCGGATTTAAATCGCGTATATTTGTTTTTTCATACAAACCAATTTGAATTTGTTTTAAATACGGAAAAATAGTTTCATTTCGTATTTATTTGGGTAATCAAATATTTAAAAAAACCTAGACACTTAAATCGTGTATATTTGTTATCTGTCCCGGTCCCATGGTCACGGCGGTTGGGTCAACCGTGACCATGAGACGTTGGTTTGTTTGAAAACATACGCGATTTAAATCCGGAAAAATAGCTTCATTTCCTACAAAAATTATTATGTACTATATAAGTTTATTAAATTATTTATTTACCTATTTATTAAATTATGAAATTTACCAAAATAAAAAAAACCAAGTTTGGTGAAAAGAAAAATTTAAAAACCTGATTTTTAATAATGGGCAAAAACGTATTTGATCCTTAGACACTTTGGATGAGTGCATTTTCAGCCAACTGGGGAAAGGACTTATCTGATTTAATTTTTATTAATAAATTTGGACATCCAAAATGAAATTACCTTATATTTATCTTGATTGTGATCACCAGTAGATAGTGTGGGTAGGTGTTTTTGTTTTTGAGTTTTTTAAACTTATTTCGCAGTGTGGACGAAGGTTATTGATAATTATTTACTTTAAATCTCAAGTAACAAAAGCTGTGAGTATTTGTGGGAAAAATTAATGTAATCGTCGGCTTACTTGTATACATAGGGGCCAATTTCAGCAAGTTTGGGCTTCTCGCCATTATTGATTTCTTCACTATTGGTTACGTTGAACACGTATATTTTAAAGTCCAGAGGCACCGGCAGTTTCCTCCATTTCTCGAACATTTGCGACGAGTTGTCGATTTGGATGTTCTGAAAAATAAAATAATAATTATTATTGTTTTTCATCATCATCGTCGTCGTCATCAACCCATTTATATGTCCCACTGCTGGGTAGGGGTCTCCTCTCAGGCGAGGTAATGTGGGTTGGGGGATTGAACACGTTTCCCGAGGGTTGTGAACCTTCTTCGATATGCAGGTTTCATTACGAAGTTTTCCTTATAAAAAAAAAATAGGTAAATTTGAAATTAAATTACGCACAAAAATTCGAGAAACTTGGAGTTGCGAGATTAAAACCCACGGCCTGCTTGAGAGGTGGCACAGTCAAGAGCACTTCAAACTTGACACTTTTTTTCCTTTGGACCGTTTATTTTTGATTTAAGTCTTAAGTGTCAAGCTTGACGTGCTCATGACCCTGTGCCCTGTACGTTAAAACACTGGGCTACCACGACTTTTAATCACATTAAATATATATAGTGCCAGGCAACCACACCAATGAACTGGTCCTGAACTAGAAAATTTCCTGTAGTACCACTACCCAGAACACTCAGACCAGGACCAATTTAGAAAAGTTTGTTTCCCATAATGAACTTATCAGGAATCGAACCCGGGAATTCCCACTCTAACCGCAGAGCCGCCGAGGTCTTAGGTCGAGACATAAGATAGATATTCTTATCTAATATAAGTACGTTGATTGGTTGTGATCACAGTTTATTCGCTCTTAGGGCGTTTTCTAACTAGACGTTTGTAGAAGCGTTGCAGTGGCACGACTGGCGACGCGGCAGCCGCGCGTCTGTAACAGCGCGTGTACACGCTTAGAAATCCGACGTGTCTCCTACAGAAAAGATGAGAATCGTCTTGTACATGACAAGAACTTTGTCGGATCTAGCCACGAAAACATGTCGTGTCGTGCAGACGAGAAAACATGAGTATGTACACGATACGAATGCTTTCGGATAAACGTGTGTAGGGTAAAATGTGTCAGTGCGTTACGAGTCTTCCAGATAGCGGTCGTTTTACTACCGACTGTAGAGAGAAATATGTTGACTACTAAGCAACACCCGTCCACGCGCATAAACCTTAGTTTACTGACAATGCACCTCACCCCGCCCCAAACAATAGCTGCAGAGATCGTGTCGGGGGTAGACAAGATTGTCTCTAATCCGCGCCGAGTCAGTGTAGAAACGACACGAATTCTTGCATAAATAAAATAAAATAAAAATCTTTTATTTTCAAACACCATAGGTCCATAGTTTGTTAGTAAGCAACCTTATACTATATTAGTAACAAATGACTGTATGGTGAATTTATGGTGTATTGTATATGAAGTGTACATTAAAATTTTCAAAATAGTCGAAAGTAAAAATTTAAAATACTAAAATTTACAATTAATAAAATAACAATTCAAATTAGCTAATAAAATAATAATAAATGACATGCACAAAATTAAAATTTTAGAAATTACATGTCATAGGGAAATCCTAAAAACGTACTTAGTCACTTAGTCGCGTGGACGCGCGCCCTAACGCTTCAGGAATTTTTAGTTCACTAATTGTGACTGCAAAAGTGGCGCGCGCGTGTCACGACAGTGGCGTCTGAATATTGTATGAAAAGTAGTAGAGTGGTGCCACTGCAGCGTCTCATTTGAAGGCGCCCATTAATGAGGTGGTTTCCTTTTTTCAGAGTTAACAAACATTTTCAAGGAGTACGTTGCCTTTTAACTAATTCATTTATAGAGTTTGAACTCAAGAACTGCTACCGTGGCCGAACGGCTACTATACTGGACTGCCACGCCGAGGTCCCGGGTTCGACTGCCGGGCCGGGAGAAATATTTGTAAGGCCTACATTTATTTCTCTCGTGAGTTTGGGTGTAATTTGTGGCACCTGCGATATAGGGTTTCCTTAGTGCGGGGCTATGAGTGTGTGCAAAAATCAAATAGATTGCTCAACATAACAATTATATATATGTATTATATGTATTATAATGCAATAACTTTCACTTTGCAACACGTTAATCCAATAAGTGTTTAGTGGTCGTATATATAGTGAGCAGCTGGGAAAATGCTAGAAGTTATAGGATCATCATACTGGAGATAGCGAGTTCCAGTTTCGGGTCGGACCTGCACCAATGATTCGAATAATTGATTTCTACTTGAACTTGTTTATTGCTAAAGGAAATCAACACGTGGAATCTATATTTCTTGCTTCGACTTCACGTGACAGTGTTAAGTCAATTACCCGTGAAGTGCCACCATTGTGCACTATGCCTAACTATCCCTTTGGAGGAAGCCCGTGTCCATTATTGGTGCGTACGTAGCACGTAAAATCGTCATTATTTAAATTACTAAATAATAGTGTTGTTAGCACAAAAATTGACGTTGTATAGTAATTTCTTTATTTATTCATTAACTGGTAATTATAAGATTCACATGTTGCTTTGTTATTAATTTAGCATTCATTATCTTTATTTAGGTAGATATTTACTTTTGTAACTATTGTGAAAAAATAGGGTGGTTTACATTAATATTAGACATAACTGGTTAATGACTGCACCACGTCAGTCAACCGTGACCATGGCACCTGTAACGGGCCCGAAACAATAAATATACGCGATGGTCAGTCAACTGTTACCATGGGATCTGTAAAGAACCCGAAACATTGGTTTGTTTGAAAAAAACAAATGTACGCGATTTAAATCCGGAAAATGGTTTCATTTCATAAAATACAATTTTTAGTAAAATAACAAAGTAATGGTATTTTAGCAACATCTGCTTAAAAGTGTTTGTATACAAATATTTTTTGTTTTGTTTATTTGTTTTGTTTATTCGATTTTTTTATTAGGCATACAAATGCCTAATAAAAAAGTCGAATAAACAAAAAGGGCTGCGAAAGGTTGTGTATCTCAGAAACATTGGCAATATGAAATGAAATTAGAATAAAAAAATCTTCTTTCTCACTGGAATCAGTTGTTTGAGCTTATCTCATTAAATAGAGTGTTTTATAAATTTAAGAACAAGTTTTATATTGTTCTTAAATCTTGCATTAATTTTCAGACCACTTTTCCACTATCCATAAAGTCTTTTTTGTAATAGTACCTTTGTTTATATTTTGGGACTTTGATTTCATCTCAGAGTACGTAAGGTGCACTATAAGTTTCCGGAATGAATAAGAAAAAAATAATATAAATGGTCAGAAATGAATTTATTGTTTCTCAAAATATTTTCCGTTAGCGTTAATGCACTTTTTCATACGAATAAACCAATTTTGAAAACATTTATGCCACTCCTCCGTGACAATCTCTGAAATATATTTTGCATACTCTTCGATATCCTATTCAGGTGATGAAAATCGTTGACCGCGTAGGTTCTTAATTTTTGGAAATAAATAAAAGTCACAAGGTGCCAGGTCGCGACTGTACGCGGGATGGCTCATGAGGTCAACGTTGTTTACCTTCAAAAATTCATTTGTCTGTCTGGCCGTGTGAGAACTGGCATTATCGTGGTGCAAGATAATACGGCGTCGAATCTCATGGTATGTCACATGCCTGTCTGTTTTGGTCATATGGCGCACAGCATCAATGTTTTTGTTGTTCACAGCAGTGGACGGGCGACCATCACAAAATTCGCTACTGAGACTCACACGACCGCGTTTGAATTCTGCAAACCAGCTATAAATAGTCGTCTTGCAAGGTGCTTCATCGCCAAAAGCAGTTTGAAGGCGAGGGAAGCTCCGCTGAGCTGTTAAATTACATTTAAAGTCGTAGAAAATCATACTACGAAAATTTTCACGAGTTAAATCCATGGTGACGTAGACAACCACTTTCTAGAATGACGCCACAATGTAAAAACAAGTGACAGTCAGATGAAACAAACTGTATTCTACAGCCAAAGAGTTCCATTTTCAAATGTTGTAATTACTTTTTAAATATTGTTTATGTAAGTGGCCGTTCCGGAAACCTATAGTGCGCCCTATGTGTACAGTGCATATTGACTAAAATTTGTTTTGCTCTATTTACGATCCACGGTTTTTATGAAAACGCACGTTTTCAATTAACTATTCTAAAGATAAATAATACTACAACTGCTACTGTACTGTTGAAAGTGCTCAATTTAGATTATTATACATATGTACTTAGCGTACATAGGGAGTTAACTGCCTTCGTGGTCGAACGGTTACATGCTGGCATCGAGTATGTAACCAGAAATAGAGATGAAATAAAGGCCATATATTCCTGGTAATACATTAGCGACACAGCTCTTATAAATATCAACAGGAAATATAGACAGGCCAACTACTGACTTGTGTGTACGTCTCCGTATATTCCAAAAATATTCTGTATTTATTGTAATAAAGATAATATCTCTAACTATGCCCTGCTGTTTTATTCGATAGTGTGGGAAAAACAGCAAAACATCTAATTACAAAACAAACGGAATTACATTTCAACGGTAATTAAATATTAAATATGTAATTTGCAATTTTCGTCCATTATATCAAAGCTCAAGTTAACTGGTCAATTTGAAGTGAAACAGGTGACGACACCCGTCAAATGTTTCGAACTCGGGCTAGCCAATCGGAGCGCAGTTGTCACAGTAACGATATGGCAGCTATTAAATGACATGTCGTCTCTATTTCTGGTTCTAGACTCGATGCATGCTGGACTGCCATGCAGAGGTTCCGAATTCGATCCGCGGGTCGGAAGAAATATTCGTAGGCCTATATTTATTTCTCTCGTGAGTTTAGGTGTAATTTGTGATTGTCTATGTGTGTATCCCCATGGCATAAGCGATACAAGTTTCTCTAGTGCAGGGCTATGAATGAGTGCGTAGTTATTATTACATTATTTACTGGATGCATCAGTTGTAAGTAATGGAGTGTATTTTAGTTTTCTTAGGAAACTTTTAGTTCGAAGAGTAAATTGTTTGTCAACTTTTTTAATATATTTTTTATGATACCACGTGGCGGGACGAATAAGTTATGCGCACGGTGTTAAACGATACGCCTACCCATAGCAGTTGCAGTGCAACTCAGAG